AAATACGAACAAGTTGATGGTAAACGATGGGTTCAAGGTCAAAGAGTTTATCAAATTTCCACTCTTGTAAAAGAGGGAGATATTTAAAATTGATAGCTAACATAGCTTGACGAGAAGGAATACGTTCTTCCCGGATTTTGTAAGAGTCAAAATATTGATAATACCAAAAACGATGATTTCTAGGACCATAATGATTGAAACATGAATTTTGGATAGTCAAGTTAGGATCAATGGGATTAGGATTAGAAATTGGAATAGGAGGAGGATTTGGAGGTGGATTTGGTTGACGGTGTGAACGACTAGATGATGACCTAGCACGTTTAGGATTGGACATGGTTTAGGAAATCATAATATAATTGATAACCTGCAATTTAGAAAACACATGTATGCAATTCAATCAATCCCAAAACTCAATTGAGTCCTCAATATTTCAAGGTTCTCTAAATCAATCCTAATGGGCAAAGTTTTTGAAAAACTTTTGAAAAATATGGTTTTGAGAAACAATATATGTATAGTTTTCATAACAACAACATGATTTAATCAAAACACAATAATTTGAAAATTATTTTTTTTTTATTTCGAAAATTTTGGAAAATTCATGTGTTTTTGATGAAATTAGTTGTAATATCTAGTTTCTAATCACTAAATAATCAATGCCCGATCTAAAATTCAACCTAGAACTAATTAAAACTAGTTCTATGTTCATAAATTGATAAAAAAAGAAATTTTGAAAAAATACCTTGAATGATTTCGGATTTGAGTGAGATTAGATGAAGTTTGCACGTTTTTTATGATTCCAACAGGTTAAGAGGATGATATTTGAAGTGAATTCCGATTAAAAATGTTGATTTGATGCAAAAATGGAGATTTGAGTGCTTAGAGGGAGAGAAACGACGGAAGGAAGAAAAATAGAGGGTTTTGAACAAAAATAAGGGTTATGCCCGTGTTTAACCAGAACCCCAGGGGGTATCGATTCCCCTGTGGGGGGAATCGGTTCCCCTTCAAAGGGGGAATCGGTTCCCTCAAGGGGGGATCGATTCCCTCTGCACCAAAATGCTAAAATCCGATTTTAAACACCCAAATTTCTAAATTAATTTCCTCTAGTGGTATTGGCAACTCATATGTTGAAAATTAATCATGTTCAAACAATTCAATTAATCTTTAAACGATATTTGAACATAAAATTAATTTTTCATCAAGAATCATAAACTCCCCCTAACTAATAGCAATGAATGCAATCAAAAATTACTATTATAAAGCATTTTTCATTTATTATTAAAAGTGCTAAAATTATTTTAAACACTCAGTGAAGATAGATTGGTCAAACCTAATTCTCTCCTAAGTGTCCAAAATCGTTCCTTGTCTAAAGGTTTTGTAAAGATATCCGCTAATTGGTGCAAAGTATCAACAAATTCTAGAACTACATCTTCCTTAGTGACATGGTCTCTAATGAAGTGATGTCTTATTTCAATGTGCTTAGTTATAGAGTGTTGGATGGGATTTTTAGTGAGACAAATAGCACTAGTATTGTCACACTTGATAGGAATGATACCTACTTCAATTCCATAATCAAAAAGTTGTTGTTTCATCCATAAAACTTGTGCACAACAACTACCAGCTGAAATGTATTCAGCTTCAGTGGTAGATAATGCAACACAATTTTGTTTCTTTGAAAACCAAGAAATTAGCATATTTCCAAGGAATTGGCAAGTACCGGAGGTGCTTTTCCTATCTAATTTGCATCCTCTATAATCCGCATCAGAAAAAAGCATGCAAGCTAAAGCTAGAGTCTCTAGGATACCAAAGTCCTAAACTAGGAGTGTCTTTAAGGTATCTAAAGATTCTCTTAACAACTAGTAAAATGTGATTCCTTAGGACATGATTGAAATCTAGCACATAAGCAAACACTAAACATAATATCCGGTCTACTTGCAGTTAGATAAAGTAGAGATCCAATCATTGACCTATATAATTTAACATCTACACATTTACCTCCTTCATCTAAGTCAAGCATTGTTGAAGAGCTCATTGGAGTGTCATGAGGTTTCCCATTTTCCAGTTCAAATTTCTTGAGCATATCTTTGACGTACTTAGCTTGATTGATGAAGATGTCATCTTTTCTTTGCTTGATTTGGAGTCCCAAGAAAAATGAGAGCTCCCCATCATGCTCATCTCAAACTCACTTTGCATTAGCTTAGAAAATTCTTGGCAAAGAACATCATTAGTAGAACCAAATATTATATCATCAACATAAATTTGAACTACTAATAAATCTTTACCTTTATGCTTCAAAAATAATGTAGTGTCAACCTTCCCTTTTGAAAAACCTTTTTCAATTAAAAAATTTGACAATCTTTCATACCAAGCTCTAGGAGCTTGCTTTAAACCATAAAGAGTTTTTGTCAATTTTAAAACATGATCCGGAAAATTTGAATCTTCAAAACCTGGAGCTTGTTCAACATACACTTCTTCTTTTATAAAACCATTTAAAAATGCACTTTTAACATCCATTTGATATAATTTAAATTCATTGAAACATGAAAATGCTAATAACATTCTAATTGCTTCCATCCTAGCTACGGGAGCGTATGTTTCATCATAGTCTATGCCCTCTTCTTGAGTATACCCTTGAGCAACAAGTCTAGTCTTGTTTCTCACTATATTACCACTCTCATCAAGCTTATTCCTAAATACCCATCTAGTACCTACAGTAGATTTATTACTAGGCCTTTCAACTAATGTCCATACTTTACTTCTCTCAAATTGATTTAACTATTCTTGCATAGCCATAATCCAATGTTCATCATTTAATGCTTATTTAATATTCTTAGGCTCTATGCATGAGATAAATGCAACATAATTACAAATATTTCTAAGAGAAGATCGAGTTGTTACCCCTTTGGATGGATCACCTATAATTTCACCATCTTTGACATAGTTGTACTCTCTTGGATAAGATACTTCCATTTATTCAATGGTTGGATTCTCAAGAGGATCATGAGTTTCCTCATTTTTCATTTCTTCCTTTGATGATGGTTCTCCAACGTCATGTCTAACGTCATTTGTATTTATAACACCTACATCATCATTCACATAAGAATCCTTCCTCGGAAGGGGATTATCATCGAAAACAACATGTATAGACTCTTCTACAACTAAAGTTATTTTATTAAATACAAGATAGGCTTTAGAATTTAAGGAATAACCCAGAAAAATTCCTTCATCACTTTTAGCATCAAATTTGCCAAGGTTTTCTTTACCGTTGTTTAAAACAAAACATTTACATCCAAAAGGATGAAAATAACTAATGTTAGGCTTTTTATTTTTGAAAATTTCATATGGAGTTTTCTTTAAAATTGGCCTAATCATTACTCGATTTACAACATAACAAGCGGTATTTGTGGCTTCTGCCCAAAAATATTTTGGAAAATATTTTCACAAAGCATGGTTCTAGCCATTTCTTCTAAAGTTCGATTTTTCCTCTCAACAACTCCATTTTGTTGAGGGGTTCTAGGTGCTGAAAAATTATGGCTAATACCGTTAGAGTTTCAAAATTCAGTAAATCCAAGATTTTCAAATTCAGTTCCATGATCACTCCTAACACTAGTTATAGAGTAACCTTTTTCATTTTGGATTACTTTTGAAAATGTGATGAATTGTTCTAATGATTCATCTTTAGTATTTAAAAATAGAACCCAAGTATATCTAGAGTAGTCATCTACAAAGACAAATGCATATTGTTTTCCACCCAAGCTAGTAATTCTAGTTGGCCCAAAAAGATCTAAATGGATCAATTGTAAAACTCTACTAGTTGATACATCATTAATGGATTTAAAAGAAACTCGCTTTTGTTTTCCTTTAGCACAAACATCACAGATTTTATCATTATCAAATTTAAGCTTAGGCAACCCTCTTACTAGGTCTCCTTGAATTAACCGTTGCAAAACACTCATACTAGCATGTCCTAGTCTCCTATGCCATAACCAACTATCATGTTCATCCTTAGCAACTAGGCATAAATTAGTCATATCAAAAGAATCTAAATGCACCATGTATATGTTTCCTATTCTATGACCAACAAGCATAATCCGATTAGATGCAATGTCAATGACTTTACAACCATTAATTTCAAATAAGACATTGAATCATTTATCGCATAATTGACTAATAATCAATAGATTATGCTTTAATCCATTCACATATAAAACATTTTTAATTTGTATGGAAGAGGTATTACCTATTGTACCAATACCTTCAATGTGACCTTTTGAATTATCTCCAAAAGTCGCTTCTCCTCCATTTTTGGCGTTAAGCTCAATGAACCGGCTTTTGTCTCCGGTCATGTGTCTTGAGCATCCACTATCAAGGTACCATGAATTTGAATTTGTTTCCCGTGTGTAGACACATGAATTTCAAGGCCTACATGTTGGCCCAACAATGGATTAACACGCCAAGCCCAAATCCCATACAGAACCGGTTCCACGTAGGGTTGTTTGAAACCCTAATCTCCTATCTCATTCAGCCGCATCGCATCACCCATCCCAGCCAAGGACTCCCTGCCGTGCACGCCTCTCCAACAATCCTAGAAACGTCCGGCAACCGAGACTCATGTTCATCACCAACAACCCAACATTAGACTTCTATTAGGATTCAAAATGTAATCTAAAAACAGGCTTTTCTTTTATTATAAATAAGTGTAAAGCAACACCATTTGAGGACATTCGGATTACATGAAATAAAAGCAGAAATTCCAAGCAAAAGTCAGAGCAAAACCGAAACTTTTTTTTTGAAGAAGAACAAAAGGTAAAGTTTGTACCATTTTTTCGTTTGGGCACTTGCATGCGTTCGTTTTGATTCGAAAAACCACCAGAGGAAACGTTTTGGCCGATGAACATGGGGTAAACCGAGATCTTCTCCCTTAGATCCACGGTTCCCCGAGGCCCGTTTTTTAAAAAAAAAGGGGCTTTGATTCTCGAAACGAGGGTAAAACGAGCTTTCGAATGGCAAAAAAAAAAGGTTTTGCCGCCGATGAACGACGACCGTCGCCGTTCAACGACGGCGGCGAGGTGGCGCGGAATGGCCATGGTGGCCAGAAACTGGATTTTGGGGGCCTGTTCTTCAGAAATGAAGAACAGGCGAGAGCAATTCAAATAAAAGAGGGGAGGGGCTTAGTTTTTTAATCAGGAAAAGTGAAGGTTTTGGCATATATACACGACCCGACCCAAATTTCTGACCCGTGCGTTTTTAAATAAATATGGGTTAATCCCATTTTTAGTCCCTCATAGATTTAATCCTTGTTCTTTGACCCTGAATCCTAATTTTTTGAATCTGATTCTCCTCTAATTTGTCATTCAATTTTCCTTTTTTTACAAGTTAGTCCTTTCTTTTAAAAATTTTAATTCTGCTTTTCTATATATATATTATATTATTCCTTAATATTATTTTATTAGTTTTCTTTTGTCTCTATTCTAGTTTTTTTTTTTACATTCGTGTATTATTAATATTATTTATTTATTTTATTTATATATATATATGTATATATTTTTTTTTCACTTATTATTATTTCTATTCTCTCTATTTTTTTAGTATTTATTATACTTTTGATTATCTTGTTATACTCTTTTTTATGTATATATTGTTTATTTATTATTAATTAGTATCATTAACGTGTATATATATAAATATTATTTAATTTTCTTTTTATCATTATCGTCTTTGTACATATTCTTTTATTCATTTCATTTATTCACTTAATTTTATTTATTTATTTTTTTTCTCTTGTCTAGTTGTTATTTATTTATTTATTTATTAACATACATTTTTTACTTTATTTATTTAATTATTTTATTTATTCGTTTGTTTTATCTTATTAATTTCTTATTATCTTTATTTTTCGATTCACTTCCATTTCTTTTTTTTTTCTTAACATTTCTTTTCCTTTAAGGTACTTTCAATCAATCTAAGGTAAGTAATTTTGGGATCATTATTTTACCTTTTAGGTTAAACTTTCAATTTTCTTAATTAAAGACAACTGGAAATTATATAGTACCGAAAGGGCAGTTCAAGGGTGCTAACCCTTCCTTGACTGTAACCGACTCCCGAATCCGACATATCTCTGGTAAAACGCAGATCAGGTAATAAATAGGGTATCCGATCAACCCATTTATTTTTAAATAAATGATCGGTGGCGACTCCAATCCATTTTCCTAAGTCGAAGCCCAATTCCGGGGCCCAACCGAAAGACGGTTGCGACAGCTTGGCGACTCCGCTGGGGACACAGGTAAGTGAGTCAGGCTAAGGTAATTTCCAGTTGTCTTTTTAATGAAAAAGGTAAGTTTAAATTTTAAGGTAACATTTCGATCCTTATTACTTACTTTTGGTTATATTTTTTTCGAGTAAATAGTTGGACTAATCGTTTTCTCATGATTTCAGCCTTCAAAGTTTTTTTTCATCTAAGGCTCTATACCCGAGCTCCAATTCCTTTTAAGTGGGGGTGAAAGCGACGCCTTCGTGTGAATTTATTCACCGTGCGGGCCTAGCAAGTAGCCTTCGGGATTCATATACCTTATGTCTTCGTGTGAATTTATTCACCGTGCGGGCATAAGGGAATGTGTCCCCTCGAGTTTAACTTAGTCCACACAAGCCTGTGATGGGTTTAGGACTAAGGGTCTGGCAAGCCCAAGGGGGCACCAGCAAGGAGAACTCGGGTACCGTTTTTAGAACCTAAACCGGGAAACCATGGAGAATTAGAACCTACCCCGAAACCGCATTTCCGAAACCTAGGATATTTTTACCTTAACCATGTCTTCTTGTTTTTTTTTCTCTTTCGTCATTTATTTATTTATTTATTTATTTACTTTACTAACATTTTTTGCCTTTGTGTTTGTTTTTTTAAAAGCATTTTGCATCATAACAAGAGGCTATTGATCCTTAAAAAGCGTTTGTTACACACAAAATAATCTGAATTAATGGACAAAGGTGTTGTAATACAAGAGATTGAAAACGCTGAGGCACGACTATGGTCAGAGAAGACTCAGAAAGAGAAGGGAGACAGTCTTCAGGGAAACTATATGTCAGAACTGGTTAGTTATGCCGCTGTCAGCCTGAAACAGAATAATGTCCAAGAGCTGCGAAACATTTGGGACAGTTGGAAGAATGACAGAAAGCAGAAGTTCAGCCAACGATATGGTGATATCGCCCTCTTGCTCCATGTCAAGACTGATGAGCCCTTACTCCAAGCATTAATTCAATTCTGGAACCCGGGATATAGTTGCTTCACCTTTAACCAGGAAGACATGGTGCCTACTATCGAAGAGTATACTACTCTACTGCACTGCGAAAGCATCAAACTAGAGAGGGCATATATTAAATATATCAAGAGTCAGCCCTTCAAGAACAGACTGGCCAAGATTGCAGGAGTTGATGAAAAGTGGGTGACTGATCGACTCCGGCACAAAGGTAGTGGGGAAGGAATTGAATGGAACCACATAAGGCAATTAATGAAGAACCACCCTGATGAGTGGAAGACTATAGACCTTTTCGCACTGGGTCTGTACGGTTTGATTATTTTTCCGAAGGCTTTGGGGTGTATTGACGCAGCCGTGGTGGAATTATTTGAACAACTACCGAAACAAGTCAACCCAGCACCAGCCATCTTAGCAGAAACCTTTCGTTCTCTTAATCATTGTAGAAGAGTTGGTGGAGGAAGATTCGTTGGGTGTGTTCAGCTCCTTCAAGTATGGATTCACAGCCACTTCTGGAAGACCAACGGGGTTGCCTATCGTCGATTTAGCACTACCTATTCGCCTTTAGGAGAGTTCATCACTATGAAATGGCATGAGGGTGCTTCAAAAGAGAAGTGGATGAAAGTCTTCACTCATCTTCAGGACCGAGATATTGCTTGGAGAGCCCCCTGGTTGTTCCTCAGTGATATTCTTTTTCGGTGTGAGGGCTCTGACACGATGACCTTACTAGGACTTTGGGGTGCAGTTGGGTATGCTCCATTGTTAGCACTAAGACAGTATGGGGCACGTCAGTTTGTCCCAGCAACATGCGGACTATCTGGATCAGAGTTTGGGTATTACGGTAACAGCTATAAGAAGATGATCAAGGAAGCAGCCGATTCTTGGAAGAAAATATTCCGGATGGACATCGTAGCTGCCAAGAACATGCTTACCCCAGATTATGTGGAATGGCGAAGATTGAGGAAAAATGACAATATTCCGGTGCCAGACTGTGAGGACACCCGAACTTTGGAAGAACATCTCAGGCCTGTCCCTTCTGAACTTGAGATAGCCAAGACAGAGTTTGAAGCTGTGAATAATGAGCTGAGGCAGAGGATAAAAGAATTTGAGGCTGAGCGCTATCAGTGGAAGCTGGATGCTGACTCTCAGAAAGATAAAGCAGACAAACTGGAAAAGGAACAGAAAAGAGTCCGTTTCGAGCTCGAAGACTTAAGAAAGGGGGTATCAAGATGCTGTCAAGGATAACTCAAAGTTGAAAGTGTCCTCTGAGTACTGGAAAGACGAAGCTCATAGCTTGAAAAGAAAGTTTGAGGGGCCTGAGGAGAGAGAACATGGAAGGAAAAGATGAAGATTGCTCAGAGGCGCTTAGCAGACAGTCAACATCAAAACCAACGCTTGAAAATCCAGATGGCTGATCTGGAGAAACAGCATGAGAGAGATGGCAAAACAATAGGTAAGTTAGAAGATATCGTAGATGGATTCAAAAAGCAAGCAGCCGAGCTTCAGATAGTGCCCTTTGATGGAGGTCTGCAATGGCGTTTCCGTTGGGAGCAAGCACAACAAAGGGTGAAGGCCAGAGACGCAATCATCCGAGACTTCCTAGATCAAGTACAAAAGGCAGCTCGTCATCTTCATGGCCTAGCAAGGGAAGCCGGAGTGGTTCGACAAGGTATTCAACCAGTGACGGATGAAGGCAGAAGACTTGTCAATCTACTAGAAGCTATTCGGGGTTTAGAGGATTTAGTCCGAGTATACCTTTGATTGTTTTTATATCTCTTATAAGATAAGATATTTTTGTCTGAATAAAGATTATTTATAATAATGAACATTTTTTTTGGATCAGTGCCTCTAAGCTGCATACATCATGCATTGCATATTTTGCATTCTATATTTCATGTTTATTTCTATATTTTCCATGTTTTTACATTCGTATTAACAAACAGAACATGTCTCAGAAAGCGAAAGAGAAAACACCAAGTCTACCACTACAGGCATTAAATACGCATCATCCACATAATACCCGAGCAAAGAAGAGACAAATGGAGGCCAAAATGGAAAAACTCGAGGAGAACATGACGAGACTGCAAAAAGAATTGGAAGACAGGATGGCTCAAAATAGTCAAAGCACCATGGAGTCCATCAAGAAGAACCAGGAGTCATTGGTCGATCAAATTGTGGCCAAGTTATCTGGATTATATCAATCTAATGTAGTAGAGGGAGATTCCTCCGGAGGGGTAATCATATCACCAGCCCCACAGGTGGTTATCTCACCCGAGATCATACCAACACTACAAGAGAACTCTTCTGCTGTCAAAAGAAAAGTATCATCTGCTGTAAAGGTGCAAACTTCCACAACTAATCCTGATAATCGTCCAGATGATTACGGTATCCCGGATTTCGATAAAGATGACAAAGCGAAGAAGATAGAAGAAAAGATCAGGATGTTAGAAGATCGAGTGAAGTTGGTCCAGGGGGACTATGACTTTTATGGAGTGGACGCAAGAGAGCTGAGCCTAGTTCCAGATTTGGTGCTTCCGCCAAAGTTTAAAATTCCTGAGTTTGAGAAGTTCGATGGGAACAGTTGCCCATCGGCCCATATCACTATGTTCTGTCGGAAAATGACAGGGTATGGAGGGAATGACCAACTCCTGATTCACTGTTTTCAGGAGAGCTTGTCCGGTTCGGCTATCCGGTGGTACAACCAGCTCAGCCAAAATTATATCAAGACATGGAGAGACTTAGCTAAGTCTTTCCTGGAGCAGTACAAGTACATCAATGATATGAGACCAGACCGAGTTATGCTACAAGGACTGGAGAAGAAGCACAACGAGAGTTTCCGACAATATGCACAGCGGTGGAAGGATTTGTCTGTGCAGGTTCATCCACCCTTGGATGAAAAAGAGACTAGAAAGTTGTTTGTACAAACTCTGAAGACACCTTACTTCGGACACCTGGTGGCAATTACATCAGGGGGTTTTTCAGATCTAGTTATGGCTGGCGAAATGATTGAGTTGGCCATTAAACAAGGGAAAATCGAGGGAGGAGACTCTAGTAAAAAACCTCCCACGAAGAACAAAGACCGGGAGGTCAACAATGTCAACACCTATAACGTCAACAAAGGTGTTACGGTCTCAAGCTCGAAGACCACTGCAGCTGCACCATCTGGTACTTCTAATCAAGCTCAGAGAGAACCAAGGAAAGAAAGGGAAAGAGAGCAGTTCGATCCCATTCCCATGTCATATAAAGAGTTATATCAACAACTCTTTGATACTCATGCAGTGTCGCCTTACCCAATGGATCCAATGAAACCCCCATATCCGAGATGGTATGACGAAAATGCGAACTGTGAATACCATGGAGGTGTGCAAGGGCATTCGATCGAAGGTTGCCTCGCATTCAAGAGGCTTGTACAACGAATGCGGAACAAAAATTGGATCACTTTTAACTCTGAAACACCGAACGTTGCCCAGAATCCTTTGCCTAACCACCCAGATACTGGAATTAATGCAATCACCACCAGGGACGGCAGGAGAGTCAAAACCAATGTTTCAGAAGTCAAAACTTCTTTGACCTGGGTATGGAACCAAATGATAAAGGCAGGGTTTCTTATACCGCAGTCATGTCCAACAAGGAATAAAGGTGGTAATTATTGTTGCTACCACAATAAAGAGGGGCATAAAGTGCAAGGATGTTCCGAGTTCCGGACATTAGTCCAGTTCATGATGGACCATAAGGAGCTGGAGTTCTACGAAGAAGTTCAGGATTCCCCGGAAGCAGACATTTGTGCTACTGAAGGAGCATCAGACAAGAGATTCGGTAGGGGTAATCCTTTGATCATTACCCCTAAGGCAAAGATATCAACAGTAGTTCCACAAGCAAAGGTGGTAATTACGCCCCCTCGACCTTTTCAGTACAAAGACAATCGGCAAGTGCCATGGAAGTACGGATGCCAGGTGAGTACTTCCAAAGGATGTGACAACAATGTGGGGCAAAGACAACTAGAGCCCTTCAAGGAAGATGTATCGACTATCAATGAACCTATCAAGGAGGAAGAAGCTAAAGAGTTCCTCAAATTTCTAAAGCATAGTGAGTACAGTGTTGTAGAACAGCTTCACAACTTGCCGACACGCACTTCAATATTGGCATTGTTATTAAGCTCGGAAGCACATCGGGAGGCACTGTTGAAAGTCCTGAATCAAACATTCGTGCCACAGGACATACCAGTCAGTAAGATGGATCGACTGGTGAATAATATTCAAGCTGATAATCTCATCTCATTTTCAGATGATGAGATTCCGTCCGGAGGAAGAGGCCGAACAAAGGCATTGCACATCACTACCTACTGCAAGGGGCATGCTCTGCCAAGTGTGTTGATTGACAACGGCTCAGCTCTGAACGTAATGCCTTTAGCCACTTTGAAAAGACTGCCAATAGATACCTCTCATATGAGGGCATGCCAAAACGTGGTCCGAGCATTTGACGGAACCAAGAGAGAGGTAATTGGCAAGATCGAGGTGCCGCTGACTATCGGACCAGCCACCTACAACATTGAGTTTCTGGTGATGGATATTATGCCTTCTTACAACTGTCTTTTGGGAAGACCCTGGATTCATCAAGCTGGTGCAGTACCATCTACATTGCACCAGAAGGTTAAATTTGTTATTGACGGGGCCTTAGTAATTATTAATGCTGAGGAAGATATTGTGGCAAGTGTGACCATGGAGGCCCCATACATCGAGGTGGATGAGGAAGCGGTGGAGTGTTCATTCCGCTCCTTGGAATTTGTGAGTGCCACCTTTGTGGCAGAAGGAAGAACGATTCCTAAACCCCCGACTTTCCAAGTGTACCAGAATGGAGATCATACAAACATTGGGACAAGGTGCCAAGACTGGAAGAGGTTTTGGGAAATTTCTGCAAGGGAGGATTGATCCAGTTCTTCCTATTTCAAAGCCAGACCGATTTGGGCTCGGCTTTCAACCCAGTTACCATGAAAGGAGGAAAGAAGTTCAGAAGAACCGAGAAATAAGACTAGCCAGATTGACTGGACGTGAACTTCAATGGGAGCCCATGACATTCCCGCCTCTTTGCCACACATTCAAGACGGGTGGATATGTGTTTGAAACCACCCCGACAGATTTAGAGACGGATTTGGAAGAACTGAGTATCAATGTCGTAACCACTGGAAATGCTGACGACATCGTTAGATCTGGGATATGCCCTTTGCCACCTGGATTCGTGCCTAGCAGTTGGACGGTCGAAGAACTACCTGTGTTTTACAAGAATTTTTCAGAGTAATATTCGAACTATCCCTATTTGCCTATACCCGGGGCAATAGGTAATCTTTTGTAAGGGTGAATAAATATTAGGTTTAAGTTCAATAAAAGATGCATTTTTTCTCTCTTTTCATGGCAAACAAATTTTCCTTTATTTCATTTTGAATTCATTATCTATTCTCTTTATTTCAATACTTCGTTTCCACTTTCCCTAAAAAACTTGATTATTTCGTGTGGGATATTCTCCTCTCACACATGCACATTTTCCCATCTTTCAGATCCCCAGATAACGATAATGTAGGCACTAATGATCCTGATCCGGAGGTGGATTTTGAATCGGCCATTTGTCTCGGGGAATTTGATGAACACAGCACTGAAGGGGAGTGCAACTTGCCTACTGAATTGTTGAGAATGGTAGAAAGAGAAGATGAACAAATACTGCCCCATAAAGAGACAATCGAAATCTTGAATCTGGGCACTGAGGAAGATCGAAAGGAGGTTAAAATCGGTACAACTCTTTCGACTGAAGCAAGACAAAACCTGATAAATTTACTTCAGGAGTACAAAGAGGTGTTCGCCTGGTCATATCAAGACATGCCTGGACTAGACACAGATATGGTAGTTCACAAACTTCCAATTAAACCAGAATGCAAACCAGTGCAGCAGAAAATGAGAAGGATGCGGCCAGAAATGCTCCTCAAGATCAAGGAGGAAGTCAAGAAACAATTCGATGCCGGATTTCTTCAAGTGGCCAAATATCCGGAGTGGGTGGCCAACATAGTGCCTGTACCGAAGAAGGATGGGAAGGTACGCATGTGTGTCGATTACCGGGACCTTAACAAGGCAAGTCCCAAAGACAACTTTCCTCTGCCACATATAGACACTCTTGTGGACAATACAGCCGGGAATAACTACTTTTCATTCATGGATGGATTTTCGGGATACAATCAGATCAAGATGCACCCTGAGGACATGGAGAAGACCACTTTTGTCACAATGTGGGGAACTTTCTGTTACAAAGTAATGCCTTTTGGATTAAAGAATGCTGGGGCAACATATCAGAGAGCCATGGTAACCCTGTTCCACGACATGATGCATAAAGAAATCGAGGTTTATGTCGACGACATGATTATCAAGGCACAAACCGAAAACGAACATGTCGAGCATTTGAGAAAGCTCTTCCAGAGACTAAGGAAGTTCCAGCTTCGACTGAACCCTAACAAGTGTACTTTTGGGGTAACATCCGGGAAACTGTTAGGTTTCGTGGTCAGAAAAGAAGGCATTGAGGTTGATCCTGACAAAATTAAGGCTATACAAAATCTACCTCCACCTCGAACACAAAAGGAGGTCCGAGGTTTTCTGGGCAGATTGAATTACATAGCGCGGTTCATATCTCAGTTAACCGATAAGTGTGATCCAATCTTCCGACTTCTCCGAAAGAACAATCCTGGGGCATGGAATGAAAACTGTCAGATCGCATTCGAGAAAGTGAAAGAATACTTATCTCATACTCCTGTTTTAATGTCCCCCATCCCAGGCAAACCTTTATTCCTATACCTTTCAATATTCGAGAACTCAATGGGTTGTGTCTTGGGTCAACATGACGAGTCTAGAAGAAAAGAAAGAGCCATCTACTATCTGAGCAAGAAGTTCACAGATTGCGAGGTCAGATATCCGCCTATCGAGAAAGTTTGTTGTGCTTTAGTTTGGGCTACAAAAAGACTCCGACAATACATGTTGTATCACACCACTTGGTTGATTTCCAAGTTAGATCCTTTAAAATACATGATGGGTGTACCTGCTCTGTCCGGAAGGTTAGCCCGATGGCAGATGTTATTATCTGAATTCGACATTGAGTACGTAAGCCAGAAAGCCATAAAAGGAAGTGCCATATCGGATTTCTTAGCAAGCAGAACCGACGAGAATTATGAGCCACTAGATTTTGATTTCCCAGATGAGGACTTGATGGCTTTATCTTTAGAGGAAGCAGTTACTTCAACAGACAATTTTTGGAGAATGTATTTCGATGGGGCATCCAATGCATTAGGACATGGTATTGGGGCAATATTGATCTCTCCGGAAGGGGGTCACTACCCGTTTACCAGCAGATTGAACTTCGATTGTACTAACAACATGGCAGAATACGAAGCTTGTGTCTTAGGAATTCGAGCTGCGCTGGGGCAAAGTATAAGGACCTTGCGAGTATACGGAGATTCAGCATTAGTAATCTATCAACTCCGTGGAGAATGGGAAACCAAAGATACAAAATTGATAGAATACCGAAAGCTAATGTTGGATTTGCTCGAAGAATTCGATGAAGTCACTTTCCACTATGTGCCAAGAGAAGAAAATCAAATGGCTGATGCTTTGGCTACCCTGGCGGCCGCATTCAAACTTGGCAGGGAATCTGAAATGATGCCAATCGACATGCAGTCATATGAGTACCCGGCTCATTGCTACCAGATTGAAGAAACAAAAGACACTAAGCCTTGGTACTACGACATTTTGCAGTATATCAAGCATCGAAGTTATCCGGAGGAAGCCACTGAAATCGACAAAAGAACCATTAGAAGGATGGCCGCTGGGTACGTTCTTGAGGGGGAGGTCTTATACAAGAAAAGCCATACTCAAGTTCTGTTAAGATGCGTCGATGCTGAAGAGGCGAAAATGATAATGAAAGAAGTACATGACGGAGTTTGTGGAGCACATGCAAATGGACAGATGATGTCGAGACAAGTAATGAGATGCGGATATTTCTGGTCCACACTGGAAGGTGATTGCATCAACTATGCTAGAAAATGTCATAAATGTCAGATTTACGGAGATAAAATAAATGTTCCACCTCATCCGCTTCAAGTTATGACATCACCATGGCCTTTCTCCATGTGGGGCATGGATGTTATTGGGCAAATCCATCCGAAGGCTTCGAATGGTCATCGTTTCATCCTTGTAGCCATCGATTATTTCACAAAGTGGGTAGAAGCTGCTTCATATGTCAGCATCACTCAATCTGTTATCTGTAAGTTTTTGAAGAAAGAGATCATATGTCGGTATGGTTTACCTGAAAGAATCATTACCGATAATGCTACAAACTTGAACAACAACATGATGAAGGCTGCTTGTGAGCAATTCAACATAAAGCATCATAATTCTACTACCTACAGACCAAAGATGAATGGTGCAGTAGAAGCAGCAAACAAGAACATTAAAAAGATAGTGGAGAAAATGACTGAGACCTACAAAGACTGGCACGAGAAGTTGCCCTTCGCTTTGTTTGCTTACCGAACCTCGGTACGAACCTCGACTGGGGCAACTCCGTTTTCGCTAACATATGGAATGGAAGCAATGCTGCCCATTGAAGTAGAAATCCCATCATTACGGGTCTTGACAGAAGTCAAACTGGATGACGCGGAATGGGCTCAATCCAGATATGATCAGCTAAATCTGATAGATGAGAAGAGACTGAAGGCCATTCGCCATGGCCAAATCTATCAGAAACGAATGATTCGAGCACATGACAAGAAGGTACGCCCGAGAATATTTCGAGAAGGAGATCTGGTGCTAAAGAGAATTTTGCCAGTTCAGAAAGATTTCCGAGGAAAATGGACGCCAAATTGGGAAGGACCATATGTTGTGAAAAAGGCCTTTTCTGGAGGAGCCCTTGTCCTGGCCGAAATGGACGGACCTGACCTACCACATCCCATCAATTCGGATGCAGTCAAGAAATACTTCGCTTAGGATGAAAACCCGAAGGGGCGTCCTAAGTAAAAAAATGAAAAACGTTTAGGGTGAAAACCCGAAAGGGCGCCCTAAATTGAAAAAAAAAAAAAAAAAAAAAGAACAAAAAGGTGGGTTCAAGATGAAAACCCGCAAAGGGTGTCTTGCAACCAAGGATGGGTCCGAATTGAAAACCCGAAAGGGCAATTTGGATAATTCAAAGAAATCCAGGCAGTTGAAACTTCCCGGCATCTGAATTTTCTGTAGACTCAACGAGTCGGAGAAGGGTTGCACTCTCCTGAAGGTCGTCACATTTTTACAGATCCTTTGGCAAAGGTTGTATTCAAGGTCACACAACGGCTTTTCAGCTCAGAAGTGCCCACATTATTGAAATCTAAGACACTCGTTTATACCTCATTATGTCTTCACCCTCCAAAATGTTTGTCATGTATTATTTGTTCTTTTTCCCTTGTGAATAAAAGGCAATTCTTTTCTCTACACCAATTCCTTTTGAGCATCTTGGATTGAGCTTAAACTTAGTGATTTATTTATTTGTGCAAAAGATATTACTGTACAAAGGTTCATTGAAAAGTACAGGTACTCGGAAGCCGATCAAGGCTCATGCATTTAAGTGAGATGGTCGAGAAGCATTTCCCAGATCAAGGATAAAAAAACGAACATCAGATTGGAACATTTGAAGAATCCAAGGTCATGGATTGAAACCTCATGACTCCATAATCAAGATTTCTAGACAGGCCTTAGCTAGAGTCAAAATCAACTTCACAACGAAGGATATCTAGCACGAAGCCAAACACCCACGATTTCAACTCCACGATGGAGGATATCGTGCCACTCAAGACAACACAAGTTCAACTTCACAACGAAGGGACGGCTGGTTGTCAACGAACAACTTTCCAATTTCAAAGCTGATTTCAACTCCACAACGGAGGATATCGTGCTACCCAAGACAACACAAGTTCAACTTCACAACGAAGGGACGGCTGGTTGTCAACAACAATTTCCCAGCTTCAGGACCAATTTCAACTTCACAGCGGAGGATATTGGACCCAAGACAGCACAAGCTCAACTTCACAACGAAAGGGCGGCTGACTGTCAACAAACAATTTCGGAGCCAATCTCAACTTCACAACGAAGGATATTGGACTCGAGACAACACAAGTTCAACTTCACAACGAAGGGACGGTTGGTTGTCAACAACAATTTCCCAGTTCCAGGGCCAGTTTCAACTTCATAGCGAAGGATATTGGACCCAAGACAGCACAAGCTCAACTTCGCAGCGAAGGGGCGGCTGACTGTCAATAAACAATTTCCCGGTTCCAAAACCAATCTCAACAGCGAAGGATACCGCACTCAAAATCTTCCAGTTCGACTCAACCTCACGACGAGGGAGTTATTTCAGGATTCAATCCAAATCCACAAATCAGTCTTAACACCGGATTTCAACTCTACAATAGAGGATATTCGATGTGATTGAAATTCGTGTCTTTTAATCTTTGCACTATTTTCGTTACACGCTAATGAGCAAAGAGGGGCAGCTGTAGACACATGAATTTCAAGGCCTACATGTTGGCCCAACAATGGATTAACACGCCAAGCCCAAATCCCATACAGAACCGGTTCCACGTAGGGTTGTTTGAAACCCTAATCTCCTATCTCATTCAGCCGCATCGCATCACCCATCCCAGCCAAGGACTCCCTGCCGTGCACGCCTCTCCAACAATCCTAGAAACGTCCGGCAACCGAGACTCATGTTCATCACCAACAACCCAACATTAGACTTCTATTAGGATTCAAAATGTAATCTAAAAACAGGCTTTTCTTTTATTATAAATAAGTGTAAAGCAACACCATTTGAGGACATTCGGATTACATGAAATAAAAGCAGAAATTCCAAGCAAAAGTCAGAGCAAAACCGAAACTTTTTTTTTTGAAGAAGAACAAAAGGTAAAGTTTGTACCATTTTTTCGTTTGGGCACTTGCATGCGTTCGTTTTGATTCGAAAAACCACCAGAGGAAACGTTTTGGCCGATGAACATGGGGTAAACCGAGATCTTCTCCCTTAGATCCACGGTTCCCCGAGGCCCGTTTTTTTAAAAAAAAAGGGCTTTGATTCTCGAAACGAGGGTAAAACGAGCTTTCGAATGGCAAAAAAAAAAAGGTTTTGCCGCCGATGAACGACGACCGTCGCCGTTCAACGACGGCGGCGAGGTGGCGCGGAATGGCCATGGTGGCCAGAAACTGGATTTTGGGGGCCTGTTCTTCAGAAATGAAGAACAGGCGAGAGCAATTCAAATAAAAGAGGGGAGGGGCTTAGTTTTTTAATCAGGAAAAGTGAAGGTTTTGGCATATATACACGACCCGACCCAAATTTCTGACCCGTGCGTTTTTAAATAAATATGGGTTAATCCCATTTTTAGTCCCTCATAGATTTAATCCTTGTTCTTTGACCCTGAATCCTAATTTTTTGAATCTGATTCTCCTCTAATTTGTCATTCAATTTTCCTTTTTTTACAAGTTAGTCCTTTCTTTTAAAAATTTTAATTCTGCTTTTCTATATATTATATTATATTCCTTAATATTTTTTTTTTTTCTTTTGTCTCTATTCTAGTTTTTTTTTTACATTCGTGTATTATTAATATTATTTATTTATTTTATTTTTATATATATATGTATATATTTTTTTTTCACTTATTATTATTCTATTCTCTCTATTTTTTTAGTATTTATTATACTTTTGATTATCTTGTTATACTCTTTTTTATGTATATATTGTTTATTTATTATTAATTAGTATCATTAACGTGTATATATATAAATATATTTAATTTTCTTTTTATCATTATCGTCTTTGTACATATCTTTTATTCATTTCATTTATTCACTTAATTTTATTTATTTATTTTTTTCTCTTGTCTAGTTGTTATTTATTTATTTATTTATTACATACATTTTTTACTTTATTTATTTAATTATTTATTTATTCGTTTGTTTTATCTTATTAATTTCTTATTATCTTTATTTTTCGATTCACTTCCATTTCTTTTTTTTTCTTAACATTTCTTTTCCTTTAAGGTACTTTCAATCAATCTAAGGTAAGTAATTTTGGGATCATTATTTTACCTTTTAGGTTAAACTTTCAATTTTCTTAATTAAAGACAACTGGAAATTATATAGTACCGAAAGGGCAGTTCAAGGGTGCTAACCCTTCCTTGACTGTAACCGACTCCCGAATCCGACATATCTCTGGTAAAACGCAGATCAGGTAATAAATAGGGTATCCGATCAACCCATTTATTTTTAAATAAATGATCGGTGGCGACTCCAATCCATTTTCCTAAGTCGAAGCCCAATTCCGGGGCCCAACCGAAAGACGGTTGCGACACCGTGCCTTGTAGAAATGCTCCTTTCCCTACAAACATAGATTAATTTTTGATTTTTGGTACCCAAATTCTTTTGGGTCCATATTCATTAGTTTCCAAAATCCTAGTCCCCTTAGGTATCCATTTGTGTAGGATATTTTTATCTTTAGTAGTAATGAGTTCTTTAGGAACCCACATACTTCTAACGATTTTTCCATTAGAGGTTCTTTGGGGACCTCTATGATTGTAGTTTCTAAAACTTTTTCTAACAAAGTTGGATTTTGAATTTCCACCTTTTTCA